TGATGGTCAGAACCAGCTTCAAAATATAATGTTGCCACCACAACGTGAAGGATTGCCATGGAGTTCAATGGAGTACCTGTAATTCAGCTCAAAAACATGAACATTTGATCTCATATCTTAAAATATTTTTTTCTCTTACTCTTTTAGTTTTAAAAACATTTGGATTAGCTTCAAACAGGCTGTAGCTGATGAGATGGCTCCTCTTGTGGCAGGTTTTTCTGTCCTTGCAGAAGTTTTGTTATGTTCTTGGTCACTGTCTTGACTATGGCCCTTCTTGCTCAGTTACTCAGTTCTAAAATTGGTAAACACTATGAAGACACTCCGTGGTCACATATATCTTCAATTACAGTTTCTGACACCAGGGAACACTGAAAACGTCATGAAGGTTATTTAAATGTTCCTTGATGTATATACCTCACCTCACTTGGGTTGTGGAAGTCTACAGTTCCATCGATTTGCTTTCTCAAAGCTAAAAATTAATTTGCTTATCTAACATGTCAAAGAAGTGAATGTGTCTGAATAATATGATCCAACTTTAGTAAGTAAACCAATTTTTGAGTAAATTCAAACAAATAGTAATCTAGGAATATTTTATTAGGTCTATAAGTAGAAGAAGCCAAAGGTTAGTTGATGATTCTAAATTGGCTGTAGGTGTGGATGTGGCTGTGAATGGTTGGGGTTCTTGGAGAACAATGGGCTGGGTGGTCAGTTCCTTAAACTAAGGAGCTATGCAAATGTACTGTTTATAAGATTGACCTGCAGTCAGCTGAGACTAAAGAAGTCACTTGGGTGAGTGACGAAACGTTTCTCCCACGAAACGCTACGTCCAGATGAACAGAATCAACTTTTGGACACTTAAGGGCCGATGGCGCAATATGGCAGCCTTGCTTCTGTCAGTCTGCCCCAGGGCAACTGTGGCTACAATTGTAGCTTGCCTCCACCAGTGTGTGAATGTGTGTGTGAATGAGTGGATGACTGGGTGTGTAAAGCGCTTTGGAGTCCCTAGGGGGGACTAGTAAAAGTGCTATACAAATACAGGCCATTTACCATTTAATCATTAGTTATTATTAATCTCTGGCTCTCTTCTACAGGATGTCTTGTCCTGTTTTCCTCCTCTCACCCCCAACCAGTCATGGCAGATGGCTGCTCCTTCCCGGGCCTGGTTCTGACTGAAGTTTATTCCTATTAAAAGGGAGTATTTCCTTCCCACTGCCACCAAGCGCTTGCTAATAGGGGATAATCGATAATCGGGACAATTTTCTCTGTATTGTTGTAAGATATTTTTCTAGAGGCAACTGTTGTTGGGAATTGGTGCTAAATAAATAAAACCGAAATGAATTGAAAACAATATTGTAATTTTTAAAGATATACTGGTAAACTGAGCAGCTGTCTGTGAGTGGCGTCAATTGTGACATAAACATGAAAAAGTGTTCCATCAGATGGTTACGGGTGCGCCATTTTGTTAGTTGCCGACAACGTCAAATGACTGGATGCGCAGGACACGTCAGACAAAAAGGGGTGTGTGTGGGGAGGGGGCTAAATTGCCATGGCAACTGTGCTGACGTAGAATGTAACCCCTCCCACGGCGTTATTCAGCCTTTGTACCGTTCAGTTAGCAGCCATTGTATTTTTACGGATCGTAAGAAATCTAAAGCGTAGCGAGTCATATAGTTTTTAACGCGGCGTTTTAAAACACTACCAATATAATTATAGATTCAAAGATAACGTCTACTGCCGAAGGACTCAAGTAAAAAGACGCGCCAAACGAAGATTGTATTTTCCACCCCAGACGTGAAGCTTGGCGGAGGGATTTAACGGAATTTAGCATACGTTTTTAACGAAAAATTCGCCGTATAAATCCGCACCCAGATTTCTGTCAAACATCTTTGTTTCATAGTGCGTGTCCGACTTTTTCTTAGGTCTGTGCCCTTATTTAGATGGCAAGCTTCCCAGATTCTGTGAACGAAAATGATATAGGTAAGTAAAACATTTTACATGTATTTTTGTGAATGCAGGTGAGAACGCTGAACGATGTCCTGGTATTTTAGTCTTAGTGCTTTTTATCTAATGCCGAACTGTAAAACTTTTTTTTGTTTCCACCAGACTATGTGGACTTTCAAAACATTGTTACTAAATAAGATGTCGAATTAGTGGCTACTTAGCTTAAACCGGTAAAGCAAAGTTTAATTAAGTTAAGAGATGTCGTTTATTTTTATCAGTGTTTCTTGGGTTTATATCCCTGCTGTTATATTAGCTCAGTGCGGTTGGTTATTTTGATGCATATCCACGATAAAGCCGTTTTATACGTTAGTGCAGCGTTTCCCTGTTGCTGGTTTGCTGATGCAAACACTGGCTGAGAGCCATTCTTCCTACAACAGCGAGAACCATAGCCGCCCAGGGATGTACGTGCGTGCTTGCACGCCAACGTTGCTTGGCTAATAAACCGAGCTCATAGCTTTAGCATGTTAACTGTTACTTTTATTTATTGCTTATTTATTAGCTATAACCGTAGTTAGGTACTAAACGTCTTATTTAATCCTAAAATCAGAATTGATAAACGTCAGCCCCATGTAGGCCTTTAGTAGTTTACTTAATGCACGTACCTTCACACATTCTTGCACCCAGAAAGACAACCTTCATAACTGTATAGACGTTGTCGGAGTTATATTTATCTACTCACTCATGTACACAATGCAGTATTTGTTTTATTGTTGCTGTTATTTTAGTTGTTGCAAAAATGTGTTGACATTAACTTATATATTGGTCTTACCAAGTAACCCCGATATATATACAGACCTGAACACAAAGATTCCATTTTGTGCGCTATGTGAAGAATGCAGTTATGAAACTGCCAGTATGTTGTGTGTCCGGAATTTAAGACTTAAGTTAACCAAAGGTTACTTTGCCACGTAGACTTTGATATCCTGTAGAAATGGACTTTACATTTCCAAACGTAAAAAGTTAATAGTGGATCTGCGGAGGTTAATTGTAGACAGTTCATATATCAGCGTATAGCCCACTATAGCTGAGAGAATATAACGATGTCCCCCCCCCGTTGTACAAATGGTATGGTTTACACATTAGCCAGTCAGGTATCTGCACCAGTGAACAAACTGGGTCTGTGCCAGATAAAGAAGTTAGTTTCATGTGTATTATTTGGGCTGAAAAATGACGCACATTCAGTTTGTTACAGAATGTAGCTGAAAAAAAGTTATGTTATTGCTTTTTCCAGGTAAGGCAAAGTTCATTGGCGAACTCCTGGTGCCTGTTGCTCCCTTTGACCAGAAGTCTGGGCGTGAAGCTTGGACAGTGGCCTTTGCACCCAATGGTTCCTACTTTGCTTGGTCTCAGGGGCATCGCATTGTCAGGCTTATCCCTTGGACGAAATGCCTGAACAGCTTGTAAGTTTCTTTTGGTTTTTTTTCCCCCCTTGTCATATTTCTCTTTATTTTCTTAAAGCACCAAGCACTTTTTATATCACTAGCATAACTACCTTGGTAGTATCTTTACCTGGTTTTTTTTTTTTTGTAGTAATGGAGTACATGTTTTTGTGTTGTTGTTTTGCTTCTTAGATAACCCCCCAACTAATTATAAAAATCTTC